CATACCCTGAGAAGACAATACAGTGCTGGAGAGAAGGTAGCAGACTACGGGGAGATGTTCAGTCAATCATGTTTCAGAATGAGATGGGAATGGTAATGTTTTTGTCTCCTTTAGTTTTTTTTTTTAATAGGCATACTGTGGCAGAGGTGATTTAAAAGAAAAAAAAAAAAAGAAACAGAGATGATAAGTGCAGACAGTTTGGAAAAAGTTGAAAGAATAGCTTAGATGTTATGGGTCCATGGAAGCCTCCTCCAGACACCATCTTTGATATCCCACAGTACAGTGGAGCTTGCTTAAGGAGGTGATGAGAGAAAGAATATGACCTGCAACATCATCTTTTAAAGCAGTCGTACATGATAAACTGAGAATAAGTAAATAAATAGTCTGTCTCTTCCTAAATTATTAATCAAAATTAATACAGTGCTCTGATCCTTTTAAATAATGAAGCCTAACAGTCAGATAATCAGTTCTGTAAGGGTCAGCAGCACTTTGGTATTCCTTGTCAGATCCTTCACAAGCAGTGAGATTGTCCACTCAAATTGTCATACAACCAGAACCTCAAGTAGTTAAATCTTTTTTATGTATTTTTAATACTTTTTAACCCTTGACCTAAAATTGGCATAATAAAGGTCTCTTAGACTGTCCACTTCTCCGACTTCAGACTCAACAGCATCCTGCAACATGAGGGAATGGGAGAAATGGATCTGGTGTGTTTGTAAAAATTTCTAATGACAACATATGTGCATATATAGGTTTGAATCTTTTTCCTGTATTTCATGGTCTCAGGTTAAATGTACCTATATCTGCAGAATTTCATGAACTTTTAAACCCTGCAGGTGGGCATTCTGAAGAACTTTTGTAGCTTGCTTTAGCAAGAGTATATAATTCTGTTTTCTTTCCACTTAGGTTGGATCAGATGTTTTCAGATGCCTTTAGTAGAGATCATCAACTAATTCAAGCAGATCCAAAGCACAGCCTCTACCTTGCCTGTGCACTTCTTGTTCGAGGAAACGTACAGGTATCAGACCTTCGCAGAAATATTGAAAGGTTTGTAATACTACTCAAAGTAGTCATGGAATTTGTTATTGAAACTGTTGTCAGTTGTCCAGAGAACACTCACTTTTCATTTGAAGAGTTTCGGTGCCAAATCCATTTACTCAGAAATATTTTTCTTAATTTCAAAAGGGAAGGAAATGTAATTAATTTACATAATGAGTTAGAATAAGTCACAGCATTATTGGATTTCCAAATAAAGGGAGCTGACTAGATGTCCCTGTGCTGCTCCTCTCATTCTCCAAAAAGGTAAAAGAAGACAAAGCTCAACCATCCAGAGGTCTCCAGCCGGTAAAGGATGTTGGAGGAGTAAGTTCTGTAGTATGTTTTTACTGAACAGAAGGCCACTCTCTTTCATGGTTACTTAGATGTAGATAGGGAATCATCCTTATTTTAACAACTATTAGCACTCCATTTCTACCTTTTTACACTATTGATCTACTTAGTTATAACAGGAAAGGCAGGCAAGTTTTGCATATAGAATGGAGTTTAGGGGCAGGCAGGAGTGCATGGGGAAAATTTCTGAGAATATAAATCATTTTACTGATTTCTAAACTACAGACTGTCCCCACACAGTATTAATTTGCCCCTCTCCTAAATCTCAAGAGTGCATACAGTCCCTTTTACAGGTGCTTGTTACTTTATTTTTCAAACCCTGATACATTAAATTAACAAAACAAAATTGGTGTTTGCCATTTAAATTTTAAATAGACACAGTGTTTTAGTCTGAAGTCTAAAATGTCTTACTCAAAATGATAGTTATAACTGGCTTGCTTAGTTCTGAAAGCTTAAGTGTTAACCACTTCAGACTGTTTGTTAGCAAAGGAAACTTAAGCTTTGTGTTCTTTAAGTTCCTTAAGTAATTAAATTTTTGTATCACAGGTTGAAGCCTTCCCTGCACTTTGTCTCCTGGAATCAAGAGGGCTGGAAAACTGGTCTGTGTTCAGTACCTCCCGTGGGCCATTCCCATTCCCTTCTGGCTTTAGCAAATAACACCTGTGTAAAACCAACTTTTACTGAACTCAAAGACAGATTTATGAAGCTCTACAAGAAAAAGGTACAACTCTTATCATTATAACATGCATAGCCACTAATCATTAGCATCTTGCATTACTGGGAAGCAAATCTTAGTATCACAAAGGTCCTGCTTAAAAGTAACAGCCCAAGATTTTTGTGTTACCTATCAAGGAATCGTTCCAACAGCTGCTGCTTAAAAAGCATAACTCCCTTATTAACCTGTACCTACCAGGCAGTATACTTACTTTCTCTTCAGCAATATCTGACAAATATGCCTACCAGTTTGTGGTGGATTGACTGTGGCTGGCCACCAAACACCCACCAAGCTGTTCTCTTGCTTCCCTTCCTCATCAGGACAGGGGGAGAAAGTACAATGAAAAGCTTGTGGGTCAAGACAAGGACAGGGAGATCATTCACCAGTTACTGTCATGGGCAAACCAGACTTGGCTTGGGGAATATTAATTTCATTTATTGCCAATTAATAACAGAGTCGCAAGAAATAAAACCAAAACTGAAAACCGTTTCACCCCACCCTACACCCTTCTTCCCAGGCTCAGTTTCATTCCTGCTCCTTCTTCACTGACCTTGGTGTCTGCAGGGCTGTTTCTCTCACATTTGTCTAACTCTTCTCTTACAGCTGTTGTGTTTTCTACCTGTCCTTAAATATGTTACCACAGGGGTACTACCAGCATCACTGATGGGCTCAGCTTTGGCCAGTAGCAGGTACATATTGGAACTGGCTCTGGCATGGGGGCAGGTCCTGGTATCTTCTCACAGCAGCCCCCCTGCACCCCCCAGCTGCCAAAACCTTGCCATATAAACCCAGTAACACAGTTTGGTCGTGTAGCCAAGAAGACAGAATATGCAAAGAAGAAATCGGTAATATCAACTGTGATTTCATAGGGGATTGTTATGAAATTTGCCAAGTATTTAAACAAGGGATATCAATATAAGTCTTTAAATCTCCTTTCTACAGTGCTTGCACTCCCCTCTTCAGTGCAGGCTAAATGGTGCTTATTGAGCCAAAAGAATTAGGTGCCACCAGAAAGGATAACATTGAATTCCTTTTAATTCTCATAGGCTCACCTTCACCATTATCTGCATATAGATGGGATGGAGCAAAGCTGTTTTTCTGAAGCCATATCATCTTTGTCTGACCTAATAGAAGAGTACAATGAACTGGATGCCACAAAAGGTGGGCCTAGAACAGATCCATCAAGACTAGAGATAGCTATTTAAAGAAGAACTGATTTTTTTTTTTTTTTTTTTAATTCCCTCAAGCATCCAATCGCTTCAGTTAACCAGAATGAATTACAGCATGCCTAGCTGTTGTAATTCCAAAGTGAGACTGGGACAACATCTTCCAACAACTCTGAGACATGTCATATTAAGTAACAGGCCCAGCCTGTAAGAAATACTCGAAAGGCACCTAATTATGGCAGATATCAGTAAGAGCAGTCTTCCTAACTGTAGAGTAAATTGACATACCATATGTTGTAAAGAGAAGAAAGAGGGGTTGTAGCAGCCAAAAATGTAGTTCTTTTCTCAGACTTTCAGCTTGCAGTAAACTAAAAGCAGGCCTTGCTTCAAAGAAGGATCACCGTTGCTAAGATTTGGTTTTTAACAAGCAACTACGAAGAAAAGAAAAGCCTGCATAGTCTTTTCAAAGACGAAAGCAAGTCTCTGATGAAACTGGTTTCTTAAACTTTGCAGGATTGTAGTCATTTCAGAATGCTCTAAGCTGTGTTCTTAGTTTTAATATTTTTCTTCCGTGTTGTACTTAGCTCTATTAGAGCATTCTGAGTTGATATCAGAATTGTCAATATCAGAAAATTCAACAAAAATTTTGTTTCAACTATTAGACTTGGAGTATTAATTAACATATTTTAATGATTCATATTCATGAATGCTGAGTTGCACTTGATAATGAGATAATACAATATACCTCTGAGTGAAACATGCACTTACAGTGAAGTTAGAATGACTGTTTGGAGAACAAAGTTTATATGCTTAAAAGAATGCAAGTAAAGTAAATGTTTTAATATTTATAATTACTAGGGTAAGTGGGGTTTTATATTACAGTAAGAACTTTTACAAAATAGAATGTATGGCTGTTTCCAGTTGCTTGATAGCCTTGGCTGTCTTAGAACAGCAAGACTGGTGAACTGTTACAAATCAGAATGGGTCAGTGCAATTAAAGCTTGAAATCCTTCTAGCGGCGTTGGAGTGGGTGTATAAGTAAGCACGATTTTCAGTGTATAAGTCCAGATGTATTCAATAAAACATTGTGATAACATTTGTTGAGAGCAATTTTTTTAAGAAAACATTCTAAAAATAGTCATTTCCTTGAAATTTTGCATCTATTATCTGCAGGTGCCCACTTATTTGTTCCTTGAGCATTGTTTATATTCACAATGCTAGAAAGAGATTATCTGCTGCAGAAAGCCATTTGAGCTTAAAATAGACTTCTCTGGTTTGAAACAGCATTGGTGTGTTTTACTATTGCAGATACGTAGTAGAAAATGTTAATTTGAGAATCAAGAAGGATAAATGAAGTATTTACAGGGTAATTTTTTTCTAATAGGTTAGAGCATCTGTGAATTTACATGTATTTGTCTTTGTGGACAACAACTTGTTACAGTGGGGTATGAAGCTGTCTTGCTGTGCCTTTTTTTAATTAACAAAAGTTCCTGTTTTGACAATACTAGTGTTATATACATCCTTCTCAATAATGTATTTCCACATATAAAACCAACTGCATCTAAAAAGATGTGCTCTTACTTGCATTTTCCAGGTGCTATTTAAAAAATGAATATTCACATACATAGTTTCACAATAAACATTGCTGTGTGGCAGGGGGTTATGCTAACTCTTCAGGGTGTGAATGCACTGTTGCACTCTCAGTGTGTTACAGTCAATGGTGTAACTTGTCATAACACTTTGAGTTCGGAAAATATATCTCCTGGTGCACTGCAAATCCTCTGACATACACACGATGTTATCCACATCATCTTCCACTTAAAGAAGCCTTCATTGGGACACTCAAACTGTACAGTGATTGTTTTGGACTTACTAGGTATGCAACACCTCTTGTCCAAGCACACCCCACAGAAAGTTAGTTTGTAGCTTTGAGCAGTTGAGCATCCGGAAAAAACTAGTTTCTCTGCTGTAGGAAGCTGGAATGTGGGTTGACATGTTTTTCCTTTTGGAATCTTTAATATAGAAAGAAAGAAAAGCCTGAGTTTTTACACATTAAAACCAGAACATGTAAGAAAAGATTGCAACATTTACATAGGAATATCTTGAAAATTACTCCTTTTGAAAGCTGTCTTATTTTTCTTTATCAGTCAACAAACAGAAAAATATTTTCTGAGTGGCTGAGCACCGGGACAGCACCAGCAGCACATATATTTCAGGACATTATATTGCTTTGTCTAGAGATTACTATTAAAACCTGAAGACTGAAGGTAGAAAACAGGTAAGTTCTTTTAAAACGCTTTAAAAAACGAACAATTCATTTTATATTAGTAGTTGCTAATACATCCCTTTCTCCATTATTTCCAATATTTTCATTTTCTATTAGGAAGTCATTTCTATTAGAAAATACCTTTACTGTTTTCAGTATATTGGTCAGACAAGGCTGGATGAAGCATAATCTCTTTTCTTTTTTCATTTCACATTTTCTGTTTTCGTTGGTCACTCTGCTGGATATGCCTATGCCACAGGTCCTGGAACAGGGTGTCCAGGGAGTTGCCTGTACTAGGCATTTTTTCTTCAAAACCAGTGGTAAGCTTCTGTAAGCTAAGACAGCAATATATTATTTATGCAGCAGAACAGCCCCAAAAGGATTAATTGGGGAAAAAAAAACCCACATTTGATTTCTCTTCATGAAGGTGCTTTTATAGGTAAATCTAAAAATGAGGCATAAACAAAGTTGTACAAAAGCTGGCCAAGCTGCCATTCAACCTTACTGACACTGGATACTCAGATCCTAGCAAGGACTATGAAGTTGCATGTGTTGTATGACCCTCCAGTTTAATGTGATGGAAATGTTATGTGGAAAGAGTTATTTGTAGAATTTTTATGAAATGTCCAGAATTAAAGAGACATTGAATATTGAGGCCAAGCATAGCTTGAAAAGGGGTGCTGAAAGCATTAATGTTGGTTTCTTTGTAGATATTGTGAAGGCTTTAGGCTTTGTATTGGGGAGTAAAATTCTCCTGTCACATCTGATATCACCAAAAAGACACTTTTCTGACGGATTAGGGCTGAATTAGGTGGAGTACACTTAAAAAAAGAAACAAAATTGCAATGCAAAAGTTAATGGTGAAACTGCAAAAAACCTGACTATCTGGGATCTGTACATTCAGGTAAGAGCACAGACAGAATTACAAGGACCTGGAAAGTAGATAGCAATTTAAAGATCTCATTGCAGTAAACAGAATAAAAGCCTGTCACAGATAAGCCCGCAACAAATAAAGTTAAAGGGTCATTTATACTTGGTACATTATTAAAATTATGACCTAGGTACATCCCTATGTATCTCAATTATGTAAATCAAATTGACAAGGAAAGCCAGAAAACAAAGAGCAGTAAAGTGAAGCTTAGCCCTTGATATCCACACTAACAGAAGAAAGACTTTTCAAAACAGATATTGGCCCATTGAGCCATTCATGGAATACATGCACAGGTTGACATGAGACCCTCAGTCAGTTTGCAGATGACACCCAGTTGGGTGGGAGTGTTGATCTGCTCGAGGGCAGGGAGGCTCTGCAGAGAGACCTCGACAGGCTGGAGCCATGGGCTGAGGCCAACTGGAGGAGTTTCCATAAGGCCAAATGCCGGGGGCTGCCCTTGGGCCACAACAACCCCCAGCAGCGCTACAGGCTTGGGGAGGAGTGGCTGGAGAGCTGCCAGTCAGAGAGGGACCTGGGGGGGTTGATTGACAGCCGGCTGAACAGGAGCCAGCAGTGTGCCCAGGGGGCCAAGAAGGCCAATGGCATCCTGGCCTGTGTCAGCAATAGCGTGGCCAGCAGGGACAGGGAAGGGATCTCACCCCTGTACTTGGCACTGGTGAGGCCGCCCCTCGATTCCTGTGTTCAGTTTTGGGCCCCTCACTACAAAAAGGACATTGAATGACTCGAGCGTGTCCAGAGAAGGGCAACGAAGCTGGTGCAGGGTCTGGAGCACAGGTCGTACGGGGAACGGCTGAGGGAACTGGGGGTGTTTAGTCTGGAGAAGAGGAGGCTGAGGGGAGACTTCATCGCCCTCTATAGCTACCTGAAAGGAGGTTGCAGAGAGCTGGGGATGAGTCTCTTTAACCAAGAAACAAGCGATAGTTGTTAGGCGTTGGAATGGGCTGCCCAGGGAGGTGGTGGAGTCCCCATCCCTGGAGATGTTTAAGAGTTGAGTTGCCATAGCGCTGAGGGATATGGTGTAGTTGGGAACTGTCAGTGTTAGGTTAATGGTTGGACTGGATGATCTTCAATGTCTTTTCCAACCTAGATGATTCTGTGATACTTCTGCTGCACTGGAAAAGGGAAGCAGGAAGACCACTTTAAAACAAAAATTTCAAGGTGGTTTTCTTCAAAAGGATTGTAGCATCTGAAGAATAGCATCCTTCAGCACATACAAGCCAACACAGGGACAGATTGTTAGGTCCATGAACCAAGTCAGATAGCAAGTGCACTTTACAAACTGACTATCTTTTCTCACGGTTATGTTGCACAGTTGATCCAAATTCCTGAATAAATGCTGTGAGGTGCAGTGTTGCAGTCAGTGAAGGACTTGCTCAAGTCTGGGCTTCAGCTTGTGGATTTGCAGAAGTGCTACAAAGTAAATGACTTAATCCTGTTCCCCAGATGTCTGAAATACAGCTCCTCACACACCCAATTAATATATTTCATGGGGTCAAATTGTTTGGTTGCCTTTGTTTTCAATGCGTTATGTTCTCTCTCCGATCAGATTAGCAATGTTCTCTAGAAATGAAAGTCCCTTGCTTTGAGGTGTGCTTTAGTGAGTGTGTGTTTATACACAACATTAAGTATATTTCTGTAAAAAGGCTTTGATACCAGTTACAGGTATTGTATCATAATTTTGAAGTAAAGATGAGCTCTTTTCATTTTTGCTAACTTGTATAACCACTGCTGAGGTGTTAGAAGCTGTCCAAACTGAACATGAGATTTTTTAAGTGTGTCTGTTTATCTGCAGATTGATTTATGTGCATCTACCTATTTACTCAGCAGTCTTTATGGTTTTCTGATAATCTTTGCGATCCTTTTAGTTTTATTTTATTGATCCATGATGATGATTCAGACTGTAACTTCACCACAGTTCAAGCTGCCACCAAATAAATGGCTTTCAGCTTTCTGGTACCCACATTAGTTGTTCGCCATGGAAACTTGCACATGCACAGGGAAGGAGACAGCTCAAGCACAGGCAGCTGTGTCCAGGAAAGGACCAGGATAACTGCTTCTGGCAATAGTGATTCCTTGAAGTGAAAAAGAGAACTAAAGTATTAGCAGCAGAGCAAGAATTAAAGGTTAAGGGAGTATCAACTGACTGTGGCAGAACTGCATGGATAAGCTCATGTATGTTTTTTATCAAACTGAATAGAGAAGATACTGGAGGGAAAATTGTCCTTGCACTGCCCTGAAATTTTGTGAATTCAGGAAAGCCTCTAAGGCAATTCTTATTTTATTCTTTACTGAAGGAAGAGGCCTGCAACATGATATCGTATGTATGTGAAAACCGAGACTCCCACCACAGAGCAGGAAAAAGTGAGACAGCTCCCAGACTGCAAAAAGGCTGTCCACCAACAGCCCTAATTGGTCTGATCTGATGAGTAGTAAACCTCTGCAAAAAGACGGGTTGAAGGTAGCTTTGGCCAAGTCCCTAGTGACAGAAGCCAAAAGGCTTTTTGCTTTTCATATTCATCAGACTTAGAGAAAAGAACCTGTGACCTAAGAGTAAGAGGGGTAATTAGGACAGACCAGTCATCCTGGCAATGGTCTTCAGCAAGAACTGAGAAATTGCCAGTGCACTGGCTGCCTGGCTGCTGAAGCAAGGGACACTAAATGCAGCAGAGCTTATGTACAGAGAAGTTTACCAGTGTAGCCAGGCACACCTGACATCAGTCTGTAGTTTGTTGATTGAAGCTGCTTGTGCTGTCCTGGGCCACAGATGGATTGTCCAGGCCTCTTTCTTCTCGTGACCCTGGCACAGGGACTTGCTGCTAATCTTGGTGTGAATACAGGTGTACATCCAATGGCACCACTGATACATAGGCACTTATAAAGTGGGTTAGGCTGGAAGGTCTGCCCGTTAAGATAATAAACTCCATTGAGCTCACATCCTACAGCTACCAGATCTGCAAATGGTAAATTATAGTTACTGACACAGGAGGGGCAGGTCGTTCCTGCTTACACAGTGATAAATGTGACCAGCCTTTACTGCACCTGCAGCTTCAAGTTCTTCCCAGCCCAAGCACGTATTTTTTTCATTTATGCCCAGTGATAACTGTAGCCGCCTGATTTTAAAACTGTCATCAGCATGTCTGCAAATAACAGGCTTGTGCACAATGAACTGCTTTCACTAATGCATACCCAGGTATGTTTAAAGACAGACCCAGCCCTACTCTGAGATTCTCTGACTGAGCAGTCGAAAGACTAAATTAGGATAAATTGCCTAGCACTGAGCTGCGCAGCACCAGAAATCAGAGTTTTCCTCCAAAACCCTTCACCTGTGTGGTCCCACCCTCCTGGATTTCAAGAAGGGAACATGAAAGAACAACTTACATGCACACACGCCTGTTTCATACCTAGGCTCATCTTCTGAGTAGTCGCAGTAGAGGCCTTTGTGGGGATCACAGATGTCTGCTTCATTGCAGGTCTCTCCTGACTGCTTGGCACAGACCTTGCAGCAGCCGCAACCATCCTTCACCAAGCTTACCCCAGGGGTGCAGGTTGGCACAGGTGGGCATCTGCATGGCCAGTGACAAACCTCCTTGCGCTGGTGGACTTCACCACTTTCTGAAGGTTTTTCTTCAGGCCTCGCTGGTGGGCTGTGGAAAAACTTACACACAGCGGGATATTTTGAGAGCTGAATGCATTATGCATAGCTGGGATAGCGTAAGATGAAGTTGGGATGGAAAAAAGTGAAGTTGCATGAAGTTGCATGAAGACACAGCATTTCTTATCTTAGAGGCTCCAAAAAGTGAGAGGCCATGAGGTTTAGGTAGGAGACAAAGGACCAATTTTGTCAGTCACTGTCATGCACTGAGGTGTCTTTCCACCAGTGAGCCTTCCTACTGCTTGTATGACTCACAATTCATTGGTCTTTGCATTCAATAGAACAAAACCTGTAGTTCAGCTAAAGTAGGAAAAGAAGTGTTTTAAAGTAGACAGTGGGTTTATTTTAAATATTCCTTCCCACAAACCTCCTATCAAATTAATTAGCTTTTAATTCCTTCCACTGTTTGATAGCCAGCCTGTGTGCTACTTTTGAGGGCAAAAACCTTTTAAAATAGAAAACTTCTTTTGAGTGTTACTTTTGCTCCAAAATTTGAGTAGCTATTTGGGAAGGAGCATTATAGCATTTACAGATTCTCTCATGCTAGATGCAAAAATTGAATTCTAATGAGGGAGGCTGGTAGTTGCACTGAGCTTAATAGGTCATTTTCTACAAGTGCATCTATTTGCATGAGTAAGTGTTCATTAAATCCAGGGTTTACAGGGCAAAGACATATCTCTAAAAGAGATTTGTATCAGCAGTAGAAAGTAAAGATCTAGCCAGATTTTACTGTTTTCCACATTCTGTCTCAGCATTCATATCTGTTGTTTTGGGGGTTATTTTAAAAGAAAAGGAAGTCCTAAATAATTCTTGATGGGTTCATTTTTCTGAGCCATGGGTGAAGATTAAGGCAGCACAGAGTGTGAAGGGATCTATTTGAGAGAGCTATATTCTATCTGCTTTTTTGAAGAACTACATCTAAAACTTAACAGTTTAGATCTTAGCATTAAATCTTTTCATATTGCTGATTTCAGCAGAAATGCAGATCGTGATATAATTATTCATCACGGATGACTGGATCCATAGTTAAGTGGGGGCACACACAGTGCTTGGCCACTAGTACAATGTAAGGCTTGGGAGCTGCTCTCATCAGGCAGCTCCAACTGCCCAAAGTGCAAGAGGGAATGACAAGATCCAGCCCCTCATCAGATGCCAGTATCACCATCCAGCTTGCAGGCAAAAAAAAATAACCTATATTTTTTCTGGGCACATGGAGCCCCACCTCTCAGTTTCTCTCTGTCCCTCCAAACTGCAGGGCTCTACTGACATAGAAACCACCTCCAGCAGAGACACTAAGGGAAATCTGGGGAAGGGGTCATTTGGCTGGGTTTGTTTTCAGTTCAACCTTCAGACTGGAAGTATCTGCAGAATTCAGCGTTTCATATGTCGTATCTCATGAAAGCTCTCGCAGCATAATTGAGCTGGCCTAATTGCATGCAGCAGTAAATGACCTTTTAAAAGGCTTTTTTCTACCACTAATTTCCATTTTTCATGGTCATTTACAACTGTATTTATGGTATCTTAATCCACAGCTACTAATGAAGCTCCAAAGTAGTAGCTTTTCTAGTTCCTTTGGCTAAATGATTTTTAAGATATATATACTAATTCACAGAGGCAATTTATATAATAAATGAATATGAAAAAATGTCATGTGTTATTCAGCATACAGAAGATAGTTTCATCGATGTGTTATTTTGTTTATCGTTTGCTGATAAAGGATTTCTTCTAATCCTTTTTACCTAAATGCAGCAATAATATAGAAACAACTAACTTAAGTATACTCTTTTTTTTAGGCAGCTAAGCCTTTCCTATATACTATAATGTTAATTTGATGAATGTGTGCATTGGAGTGTAAAGCTGCTTAAAGACTTTTTGGAAAGAAGACACACAGGTGTTCCTATACATTTAGCAGTGTTCAAGACTCTATGGTTGCTTTAGGAAACACTTTCTTGCTGCTTTTTTTTCTTTTTAAGCAGGGTATTATTAGGAATTTGGCCATGTGCCAGCTGTATGAGGTTATGTGGCTTAAAGCAGATATCGTGTTTCAAAATGGGTATGTGTAGCAGGAAATAATGTGTGCTTCAACCAGTATGTTTAATTTCTATTACAAATTGAAACATACTTTAAACTTACAGAATTCTACCTAAGGAAGTGATTTTCTCTCCTTTTTTTTTTTTTTAGGGAAAGATGTCAACTGAAAGGTGTAAGACCACAAAGTTTACCAGTTAGAAAAACACCATTAGGCAAATGTCTGGCAGTTTTAACTGAGAAGCTCGGTCTACCTGAAAAATCTTCAAAAATCTGTTAAGTTACAATGAAAATTTGAAGTTTGCTTGTTAGGTTTTCAGGCCAAAAATTTTCAAATCCTTGCTTCCGAAAGTTTCTATACCAAAGCTATCCACATCACACAAACCCACTGCATACTTTTCCTGATCCTATGGGTAGATCAGAAAATGAGACCATTGTGTAGCAGCCCTTCATGTGTTGTTTGTTTTCCTATGTTTTAAAGATTAAACAAGTTCTGTATGGCATAAATAAGCAAATAGCAAAAGTAGGCAATGTATTATTGCTAATGTTCGGTTATCTTAGTCTGATTTTAAATATGTAGAAAGTTAGCAGAGGCAGACAGTCAGTTGAAAATTCTCCATTTGACATTCATCTTGACTGTAAAGGAAAAAAACACTGTGTGCACATAAAGTGCATTTTCAGAATCAAGTAAATAAGTAATGAAATTGGCCTTTGACACAAATACTTTCAGAAAAAGCTGTAACTTAAAATTTTCTCATAAGAGACAAAGTATAACACAGCCCAGGTGTCTTTTTCATTTATAAAATTAGCCTGAAGTTAGACTGCTGTGTATATATACATATATATGGAATATGAGCATGGACAAGATGTTTACTTTCTTACTGCATCAGATAACCAATCGTACTTATATTAAAAAAAAAAAAAAAAAAAAAAAAAGGCAAGGTCACTGACAATTTAAGCTTCCCTAACACTTTTTTTTTTCCCACTGAATCATATTAATGTACAGATTAGAAAGGAGAAAATGCCAAAATCAAGACTGATGCAGTAAATAAGTTGCAAATGAAATTCACTTAGAAGTAGGGAATGGCTCCTTATTCTTTATGAGGACTTTACTTCTCTGAAATTTATTTTGTCAATAAGCAAACAAAAATTTTAAACCGGGACAGGGTGAAGAAGGGAGAAATCTTTTTCTTCTTTTTAATGAACTTACCTGTTGCGTACAAGGGATGATGAAGATGGTGGGAAAAAGGAGCCACCGCATGTTCCTGCACATTCAGAAGTGAAACTGGGAGATAGGGAACAGGCTGAGCTGTGTCAGAGGAAGCACTGAACACAAAGCTCTCCTCTGTCTCCCTTGCCAACCCTACTTTCCCCAGCACATGCACGAACACATACACGCATTCACACTTGAAATTCTCCACTTCACACAGAACCAGCTTCACACTGAAATTTCCAACTGATCTTCTTTTCTCTGCCCGGCATTAGAATACAGGTTTTCACACCCCGCTTGATCCCTCCAGCTGCTTCAGCAGATTCTGTCTGACTTAACTGAGGTCGGGTGGGGTGACAATCTTGCTGCTGGAAATGTAGTGTTACTTTTAAATTGTTTTTAAGTCCATCTTACAGGAATTTCTGAAATCCTAAGGGCAGAGCCGCAAATATATGTACTTTTGAGAAGCAGAGTTTCTCAAAATTTCTAATGTATTGTGCCTAGCAGAATCATAGCATAAAAATTAACACTGTCAGTACATGCTCTCTAAATAGGGAAAGAGATACTATAACACTAGTGCATGTTCTGCACTGCTTCTTTCCATGGAATCCTAAAGGGGAAAGCCAAACTGTACTTTTCCCTGAAGTACACACCTTGTCTTACTGCCATGCCACCCTGCTTAAACACAAGACCATTCAAATGTCCAGATTTCCTCCTCCCTAATACCACCAAGGTGATGTGCCTGATTTTTAGGCTAATAAGCGAGGGTCTCTAGAATAAGATAAAATCTTCACCTTTGCAACAGTGATGTTGGTGGTAACCTGGTGAATGCTCCTCCTTTGCATTTATCCTCATTCAGAAACCTCCTGCGAAGTCTGAGAGTTACTAGGGGAGGCTGCCAAAGACCAAACTCACACAGCAGCTGTGTGTGGACAGAGGCAGTGGGGGGAGTAGGGAATCAAATCCGGTCTGAGCAATTTTGCTTTGCCCCACAACTTGGAGCACCACATGCCCTCTGCAGTTACAAATGAATCCTGAGTTGCCCTTCAAACTCTTGAGCAGTCAGCTGTAAATCACTGAAAAACTGTTCTTCTTTAGCACATCCATTTTTTCACATACTTCAAAATAACATCCAAACAATATCTGGATACAAAATGGGTTCTGCAGATCAGTTAATTTCAGTGACGTTACTCTGAGTATGTATCCATGCAGACCAGGTCTGACTTAAGCCTTGTGTTTTCCATTAAAAACTTCTGAAAACAGCACCTAGGTTTCCCTAAATTCTCTTCTGTATACTTTCAAAACATAGCTTGTTTCATATGATCAGAGGATAGCTGAGGTTGGAAGAGACCCAGGAGGTCTCTAGTTCAACCAGTGCTCAAGCAGGGTCAGCTTTGAGATTGGGCTAGGTTACTCAGGGCTCTGTTTGGGTCTGGAAAACCTCCAAGGGTGGAGACTGACAAACAGAATCACAGAATCATCTAGGTTGGAAAAGACTTTGAAGATCATCTAGTCCAACCATCAACCTAGCACTGACAGTTCCCAACTACACCATATCCCTCAGCGCTATGTCAACCAAACTCTTAAACACCTCCAGGGATGGGGACTCTACCACTGCCCTGGGCAGCCCATTCCAACCCCTAACAACCCCTTCTGGAAAAAAATGCTTCCTAATATCCAGTCTAAATCTTTCCTGGCACAACTTGAGGCCATTACCTCTTGTCCTATTGCTTGTTTCTTGGTTAAAGAGACTCATCCCCAGCTCTCTGCACCCTCCTCTCAGGTAGCAGTAGAGGACGATGAGGTCTCCCCTCAGCCTCCTCTTCTCCAGACTAAACACCCCCAGTTCCCTCAGCCGCTCCTCCTACGACCTGTGCTCCAGACCCTGCACCAGCTTCGTTGCCCTTCTCTGGACACGCTCGAGTCATTCAATGTCCTTTTTGTAGTGAGGGGCCCAAAACTGAACACAGCCATCGAGGGGCGGCCTCACCAGTGCCGAGTACAGGGGTCAGATCCCTTCCCTGTCCCTGCTGGCCACGCTATTGCTGACACAAGCCAGGATGCCATTGGCCTTCTTGGCCACCTGGGCACACTGCTGGCTCCTGTTCAGCCGGCTGTCAATCAACACCCCAGGTCCCTCTCTGACTGGCAGCTCTCCAGCCACTCCTCCCCAAGCCTGTAGCGCTGCTGGGGGTTGTTGTGGCCCAAGGGCAGCCCCCGGCATTTGGCCTTATTGAAACTCCTCCAGTTGGCCTCAGCCCATGGCTCCAGCCTGTCCAGGTCTCTCTGCAGAGCCTCCCTGCCCTCGAGCAGATCAACACTCCCACCCAACTTGGTGTCATCTGCAAACTGACTGAGGGTGCACTTGATCCCCTCGTCTAGATCATCAATAAAGATGTTAAACAGGAGTGGCCCCAAAACCGATCCCTGGGGGACACCACTTGTGATCGGCCACCAACCAGAGTTAACTCTATTCACTACAAATCTTTGGGCCCGGCCATCCAGACAGTTTTTTATCCAGCAAAGCGTGTGCCCATCCAAGCCACAGGCAACCAGGAGAATGTTGTGGGAAACAATGTCAAAGGCCTTACTAATGTCAAGGTAGACAATATCCACAGCCTTTCCCTCATCCAATAAGCAGGTTGCCCTGTCATAGGAGATCAGGTTTGTCAAGCAGGACCTGCCTTTCATAAATCCGTGCTGACTGGGTCTGATCCCCTGGTTGTCCCACACGTGTTGTGTGATGGTACTCAGGATGAGCTGCTCCATCAGCTTCCCGGGCACTGACATCAAGCTGACAGGCCTGCAATTTCCCCGATCATCCTTCTGACCCTTCGTCCATATGGGCGTCACATTGGCCAATTTCCAATCTGTTGGGACCTCCAACAGATAGTAAATGGTGGAAAATGGTAAATGATCTGTCGGGACCAATCTGTCGGGACCTCCAAGAGATGGTAAATGATGGAAAGCAGCTTGGCGAGCACCCCAGCCAGCTCCTTCAGCCCCCTCGGGTGTATCCCATCCGGTCCCATATCGCTGTGTGTGTCTGTGTGATGCAGCAGGTCACTGACTGTCTCCTCCTGGATTGTGGGGTGGTTGTTCTCCTAGTCTCTGTCTTCTGGCTGGGGAGGCTGGATTCCCTCAGTACAACTAGTCTTGTTATTAAAGACCGAGGCAAAGAAGGCATTAAGCACCTCAGCCTTCTCCTCGTCACTTGTTACCGTGTTTCCTCCTGTGTCTAGCAGGGGGTGGAGGCTCTCCCTGGTCGTTCTTTTGCTGTTGACATAGAAACATTTCTTGTTGTCCTTGATTGCTGAAGCCAGATTAATTTCTAGCTGGGCTTTAGACCTCCTGATTTCCACCCTTCGTAGCCCCACAGCATCTTTGTAATCATTGTGACTTGCTAGCCCCTTCTTCCAACGGCCATGAACTCTCCTTTTCTCCCTGAGTTGCAGCCAAAGCTCCCTGTTTAGCCAGGGTGTCTTTCTCTGGCACCGGCTTCTCTTACAGCACCTGGGCACTGCCTGCTCCTGTGCCATTAAGACTTTCTTCTTAAAGAGCATCCAGCCTTCAAACCTCTCGTGGCAGCCTTTCAGAGTCATAATCATGAGCAATGCAGGCCGTCTGAGGAGACCCCAGGTACAGTTTTCTCCTGCAGATCCAAAGACACCCCTTTCACTCTCCAGCATGGAAGAAGTGAGGAAGGTTGGAGTACTAGGACATCCATTCTCCTCCTCCTAGGAGCAGGGGAGCACACAGTGTTCATTCGAAATGTGTTCTTCCTCTTAGCATGGCAGAAATAATGCATGTGGCCAGTGCACGTGAGCTGGGAATGCTCAGTGTGAGCTGTCAGTCTGCTGTGCATAACGGTCCCCAGTCCTTGGGAAACTGGAAGCAGATGTTCCTGTAGGATTACCCATTGTTTTATATAGTGTATTTCGTTGGAATCACCTGGAGAACACAATATCTTCAGGATCAGAGTGAGACTTTGAAACTAGGTTTGAGTACAATTAAGCTGATATTGATAGAAAATGTTGTGTTTGGGAGAGGAGGGAGGAAGGTTCCTTCCTGAGGAAGACGTTCTGGTGCCATAACACATTAAAATGTGATTTTACATGGCTGGATGGTTGCTCAGGTGTGCAAAGCATCTAGCATGCTTCTTCAGCCTGGGACAGGCCTACTGCTAGGAGCAGCACTCCTTCTACTAGGACTCAACTCTCCAAAACACTCCTATGCCTTCATTGTCTCTCTTAACAAATGCATTAACTGAGGCTGTCTGGAGCTTGCAGTACCTGCAGTACTGAACCCAGAGTGTATTTAATAAGGAGCCACAAAACCATAAAGACAGCAACACTAACTGCTTTGCATAAATAATGCTCTAATGCTTTGACTCATTATTAGAGTCTGTGTCTCTGCTAGTATTGGCTCTGATTTAAATAAATGAAGGCAGTGTGCCCTTTTCCTCTTCTGTGGATCTTTAGTGATCCCGCACAACTTAAAAATTAATGTCCTTAATGCCATGCCCAGACTCAGCAATAGTTTGTCTGTATGCCTCCTTCTTGCCAAATCTCCCTTGCAGATTTGATTACATAAAGCATCACTCATTTCCTGAACTAAACCTGCTCTGTTATCTGGTGCCATTCTAATGCTACCCTGAACAGAAATGTAATTTGGTTATATATTCAGTGATGTCTACATACTGCATAAGTTACTTTGGTGCTGAAATCATCCTTCTGTCTGTGAAATATGCCATGTAAATCCATTGTTTTAAGAGATGGGAAAGTATGGGGCATAAACCCATAAATTAATATAACCATGCATTCTAAAAGGATACCCTGTCTCAGACAAAATGCCAGAAGTATTCACTATTGATATTTGTTACGGGCCAGGATTCTCAATATTCCTTACTGGGCTTGGCGGAGCTATTGTGTCAAAATCCAGCAAAGTCAGGGTTAGGTTCAGTCATTCCCGATAACTGGGCATCAGTCCCAAACACACCAGATCTCGGGGGGGTCACTTTTTGGCAGGAAGATTTTAACATGTTGTCCTGTTTTGTTGCTTTTTGCGCATGGACGCTACAAAGACACTCCTCTGTTTGTCAGTCAAACCTCCTGTCTGTGTCTCT